ATCCTCATCCCATAGCTCTCTTTTCTCTCATGACCCACACCTGGGCCACATTCTAGACACACACACACCCCTATCTCTCTCTCTCTCTCTCTCTCACACGCACACACACACACCGCCTACCGATGGCACACAACCACCCCAAACAGCCATTTCTCCAGGCAAGTCCATCTGAAGTTAACCAGTCTGCCTGTCTCCTTTCAGGTCTCTAGCCATGTGTTAAATATTAGACCTCCAATTTCAGGGAACATATATCCATGTCTGGACCCTGCTCTCTAAGCTTGAGGGAAAGATACCCACGTTGCTGCCCCGAGGGATGTATACAGAGGGGGAAGCGGTACCACAGTGCCCGGTCCCCAAATCCTGCCTTCGACTTCACTGCACAAAAGTTCAACCATAACCCATCTCCCTCCTCGGCCCAGGTGGCAGGTGTAAGGACTGCTTTTTAATGTGGGTGATGATCTTCCCTCTGCATCTGATAAAGAGCATAGTGGTTGTATATAGTGGTTATACACCAGACTGCTAGCTGCGAGGTCAGAAGTTAAAAACCAGCAACCACTCAGCAAGAGACAGACGGGACTTTCTACTCCCACAAAGTGTTTCAGTCTTGGAAGCTCACAGGGGCAAGTTCTACCCTGTCCTACAGGGTCCCTGTGAGTCAGCATCACCTGGATAGCAGTGAACTTGGTTGGGGATTGGATTTGCATCATGTGGCCACAGGCTAATATTTCGGTACAAGCCTACCATTCATCAGAAGGTAGGAATTGAGGAATATAGACTCTCGGGCCTGAGCAAAAGTACAGTGCATCCAACTAGGTTGAGATGACAAAGACCCAAGAGGAAGAGAGAAAACGAAGAGAAAGTCGGAACCCACCATTCTCCGGTTGATTTTGACTCACAGTGAGCCCAGATGGAGCTCACGAAGGAGAAAACAGTAGTCAAAGTGCCACATCGACACCCAGCCCATTGCCCTCAAGTTGATTCCCACTCAGAGCAACCTTACAGGACCGAAGGGAACGGCTCCCTAGGATCCTCGCGGAAGCCAACTCCCACATCTTTCTCCCTCAGAGTAGCTGCTAGGTCTGAGCTGCTGACCTTGCCATTAGCAGCCAACCACTTAACCACTGTGCCACCACGCTCCTTGATAAGCACCCTAGGTGCCAGAAAAGCGTAGTTGTTCCTGTCTAGCGATAGCATGGTCCACAAGACAAGCTGGCCGTCCACTCGGAGAGATATGCAGTAGTTTGAGTACAGGGTGAGCGAAAGAGAGGAAGACCCTCAGGAGATGGACGCGCTCAGCCCTAGCGATGGCAAGGACGATGCCAGCTGGGGCAGGGTGTTGTCCGTAGCACACAGCATCACTAGGCATCGGAATCAACTCCACGGCACTGAATAGCAAGAAGGACACCAGGCAAGCTGATTGACAAAGCTGCTAAAATTTCATAGGGAAAAACTAAATAAATAAGTGGGCTGTATTACCATCTTTGAGTTTGAAATCAAGCATTTACATTTGAACCCAAAACTATAAGGGTGTTTCTATTTTAAGCCCCATTTGTAAGAAGGTCTAAGATCTGCAGGCTTGGTTGGAATGTGATGATGATAATGACGAAAATGGTGGTATCACTGAAGATAAAGGAAAAGATTTCAATAAGTTCATGGGAAAACTGGAAGGAAAGGTAATGGAATTGTTCTACGAACTTTTTGAAGTGTTCTTGTATTCATACAGGCACACACACACACATACACACACACCACAAGGGTGGCTTCAAAAAGTTGGTGGGACAATCTATTTATAGATTGTGATAAGAATGGTAAGAGCCCCCAATAAAATGATTTTTTTTAAAGTTGGTGGGAAATGAATTGAAAGATAATTGCATTTTCCCACAAACTTCTCAATCCCTTTTGTATCTATTGTATATCTAACAACACACAAACACCAGTTGTTATTGACTTGATTCTAACTATGACAACCCCTACCCATGCTGAGATGTGTATCTATCTCTATCCATCTCTTCATCTATCTATCCCTGCATCCATCCATCCAGCATCTACCAGAGTCTCTGGCAGTATATGATAGTCATCAAAAGGCTGCGTGCTTACCTGGAGGTCTGGGGGTGTTTCTGGATTCTGAGTTAATTCTTTGAGATCATCGACTTTGGAACGAAGTTCTTCCAGCCTCAGGGCTTTGCTTCTAACTTCAGACTGCCAACAGCAAAGCAAGAAGGATAACAAATGAAACCACAGACGGGCTGTGTGTTGCGTTCAGTCATGTCCAGTGTGAACTCTGCCAAAAATCCCCCGTTTTAAGCCCCGATTATAAAAACAAACCGAAACCCACCTCCATGTCACTTTGGAGAGCTGCCGTGGTTAAGGAACGTGGAAAATGGCACAATTAACTTTCCCTTGGGAGAAGGCGAGGGAATACGTGGAACTTCCTTTCTTCCTCCCCTCCCACCCTTTTATTAGGGAGGGGAGGGGGGACCCTCATGGAAAAATTTAAACACTGACCAAAAGTCTTGAGTCAGTAGAGATTCTTAGTCAGCTAACTGTTATTTATTCATTAACATTGAAACCACGGGTTTCTATGGCAGCGTTCAACTCTTGAAGGGGTATTTCCAAACAAACACGCAGGCTGGGTGCCTCATGCCCATTGAACATACCTGATGCATAAACCAAAAACCAAACTCACGGCCGGCAAGTCAATACCGATTCACAGTGACCTTCAGGGCAGGGTAGAAGTGCCCCTGTGGGTTTCCCAGACTGTCACTGATAGGGGAGGACTAAGCCCAAGCTTTCTCCTACTGAGCAGCTGGTCCCAGCTCATAACCACGACACCATCAGGCGCCAACGGGTACATGCGCCATTTAAAATAAATCTCTGAAGAATGGCACACTTGAACTCATGTTCATGAGAAAACCAACAGCTTGCATGTTGGCCCCCTCTCCCTTTTATTTTTCACATCACAACCATAAGACAACAAGAAGGAATCGTCAAAGCATCATTACTGAGCAAACTGGCCACTTAGGGACGTCATCAGTCATTTGAGGCCATGAAGGGGACCATTCAGCACCTGGCTCCATGGGCTGAGAAATGGCAGGCTCGTGCTTTGGGGACACGAACAAGCCCAGTGGCCCCGCCTTCAGTCCGCGCAGGAAGTGACTCTCCAGCGTGGCGTGAAGAAGTGCACGCTCAGGAGCAGGCCAGGCACTTCCGGCATCGCACCTCTGGGCCACACCCCATTACTGCACGAGGACAATGGCGCCACGGGTCCCCTGAGCTAGAGCCACACCGTTGCAGGTGCCAGAAAAGACCTGCCTCTGTGAGTGTGGATCTCATTCACATCGGCGGTCTGCCGTGTGCCCCGGTTTGTAGAGTTTTATCAATTTCTGTGGTATAAATAGTGCCACCGAGGCTTGTTTGGAGCCACCCTTAGGCAGTATCACTCACTGTAGGGGGACATGGGCGGGACCTCGCCATTCTCAACACGCTGTTCTAATGGTTGTAGAGCGGACAGGTAACAGAAATGAGCAGAATAATGATTGAAAAACCAACCAAACCTTCACTGGGTTGATTTTAACTTATGCCACACACACTCCCTTGTGGTCGAGAGTAGAACTGCGCTCCACAGGGTTTTCAATGGCGGATTTTTCACAAGCTCGCGAGCATTTTCTTCCTCCTTGATGGGATAGTTTGAACAGACCATGTTTTGGCTAGCAGTTGAGC